GAGATATAGGTTTAATAAATCGCGACTTTGTTTTGTGTGTGTTATTACAGCTGTAGTGTTGGATCCCTTATAACTCAGATACAGGGACCTGAAGATGAATCTGGCTGTTAACACTGTGTAACCCGCATGGTGCTTCTGTACACGATGGGACTTTGTTGTAAGAAACTGCTCACTAACTGACCTCCTTTGTGTAACTAACCTGTTGTTGTGCGTCCCTCTAATCGCCTTTGTTTACCGTGTTCACTTCACTAGTGGACATATGGTCTGTGGGCTGCATACTGGCAGAAATGGTTCGCCATAAAATCCTCTTCCCAGGAAGGGACTGTATCCTTGGGTCTTTTTAAATTCTTCTTCACGCTGTTAATCTTAACGGTCTTTGTAAAGGGTTTGTGCTTTGTGCTGTGCAGACTCTTATATCTTTCCCTGGTTAGTTTTTTGCCTTGAATACAGTATGTTGTGCCAGGCTATAAGGACTTGTCATAACACACCTTATTTGAAGCTTTCTGGCCTGCATGGGCTGTAAACATGTCAGGTTTCATTTGCTTCAGCACTGCATTGCTCTTTCTCTCATACTGTATATCTGGCTGATGCTGCATGTTCTCCATTTTCATTTCAATCAACACCACTGCCGTTCTGCTTGCATTCTTCTCACTTTGTTTCTCCTGTTTATTTATTTTTTACCTCACCATTTTGTTTGCACGCCCACCTCCCCGTCATCATCTAAACTTCCGCCTCCAGTGGATGTATGGTCAGTGGGCTGCATAGTGGCCGAGATGATCAGGGGCAGCGTTTTGTTCCCCGGCACTGATCGTATCCTTCCCCATCATTGATTGATCACCGTGTCATCACTTCATTCTGTGTGAAGAGAACAGCAACACCATTGTGACAAGTTTCCCTCTGTCACATTGCTATCCATTCTCAAGTTTCCACCATCATTGCTCTGCTGCACCCACCTATTGTGAGAATGTCGAGCCAAACCAGATGATAAAGTTGCTGAGAGAGTGTGTATGATAGTTCTGTGTTAGCTGCATAGGAAAGGAATGAGTGGCTGTATCACTGGATCCTGTGATCTAAGTATGTGTGTGTCTGTGGACTACGTGTGTTTCCCTAACGTATACACATCAGACATCGACCAGTGGAACAAGGTAATTGAGCAGCTAGGCACTCCATCTCAGGACTTTCTAATGAAGCTGAACCAGTCGGTGAGAACGTACGTCGAAAACAGGCCACGCTATGCTGGGTACAGCTTTGAGAAGCTCTTCCCAGATGTGCTCTTCCCTGCCGACTCTGAAAACAACAAACTGAAAGGTACTGTGTGTTTTCCAATCATGACCGAAACTCTTTCATCAAATACATTTGTGGACATTGATTAATTGCAAAGCATCTTGTGTATTTGTTGTTTCTTTCCTCAGCGAGCCAAGCTAGAGATCTCTTATCCAAGATGTTAGTGATTGACGCCTCCAAACGCATCTCTGTAGATGAGGCCCTGCAGCACCCCTATATTAATGTTTGGTACGACCCAGCTGAAGTGGAAGCAGTAAGTGGATCGCTGATCGGAGCGCATGATCCTTAAATGGGTCACATGAGATTTTAATTACATCACTTGAAGTGGAAAGTTAGCAATGCTCTTCCACCACCAATGTGCCATTTAATCCATTTTCTCCTTCTCAGCCCCCTCCAAAGATCCTACACAAACACCTGGATGAGAGGGAGCATACCGTGGACGAGTGGAAAGGTGAGACGGCATACTAGGATTCTTAACACTTCACTCAACACTTCATTTTTCACGTGTTTCAAGTGCGTTTCAGTGTATTTTGTAGCCTCCGCTCCTGAGGGAGCACAGGGATTTCCTAAGACGTTTCATTCAGTAATCTTGAAGTGAAAAGTCTGATAAAATACTTTTTACTTTCACGATTTTGTTGGGGATCCGCAATGTTTTATCACTTCAAAAAAAGTACAAGTTATGGAAGAAGTAGATGAATTTTGGTTTCAAACCAGCTGGTTAATTAAACATTTAATATATTAATATGCAATTGCTAGTAGCTGTTAAATCAATCCACTATACATTGAACTTTGTGCAAATCACACGTGTTTACAATGAGATAGAATGGCCTGCTGGTCAGATTCTATGATTAGCAGTTCACCAGTGGTGACGTGATTATTTTCTATTCATGGAAAGCACAAAAATAAACCATGTCTAAAGTAACCCAGTGGGACATCCAGTAAATGTCAGTTGGTTACAGACATTGTTGGCTAGAGGAGCTCTGTATCTCCGCTCTAGTTGCCAGAAGGTGCGTTGCATGACGTGAAACCCCCTTTTGAAGCCTCTCAGTTGGTGTTTTCCACTGTGGGGAACCTGATTCCGTGGAGCATGGTAGGACTTCAAATTATGAGTAAATATCACTTTCAGTTGAGCAGCAGGATGAGCTCATCCTAACCCCTGCCAGGTGATGATGACACTCCACTCATATTTTAGAAGAGTCACACCAGCACAGCCTGTCCAAGCGAGGAACATGATGCTGTTTGGACTGCACCGTATGCAATACAAAGTGAACTCTACAGATACAAGTGCATCACATTCTGTGATATTTACATCAATGATTTCTCGCTGTGTCTCCTGCCCGACTTAACCTTTTTTTGATCTTTCACTTTCAGTGCTAATTTATAAAGAAGTGAGTGAATGGGAGGAGTGGACAAGAAATGGCGTGATAAGAGGCCAGCCACCTGCTTTAGGTGAGTAATCTTTATAACTTTGGTAGATGAGGAGATGTGGGAAGGATAGCTAGTGAATCACATGAGGGCTTGACGTCAGTCTGTAAGATTGAATAATGAAAAGATCTTAAAACTTTTTATTTTGTACACATTCACTGAATACTTCATAAATGCAGTAGGTTAAATCTGGGATAAATGTGGTTTAAAAAGTTACAAACCATCAATGTTTCAACAGCATTTCAATACTTCAATGTAAAGTACATTGTAAACAGTGTATTGGGGCGATAATCAGAGATTTTGGGAATCAAGTTATAATATTTAATGAATAAAGTTGAAATATATTTTATGTATGAAGCCATAAAAGTTTGAGAATGAAATATTTCCAGAATATAATTGTTTAAACTACACCTCTTTTACCCTGCAAGTCAAAGTGCTTACTGGTGTGATGCACAGTTTACACCTGCATTTGTGACTCGGCAGACGAAGGCAGTTTCCTGTGTATTTTCAATGAAACCTATGCGTTGACGTCTGTTTTTCGCAGCACAGGTGCAGCAGTGATCGACAGCCCCCCTCAGCCCACGTCCTCCTCCTCTTCCTCGGCCAACGATGTCTCGTCCATGTCCACAGAGCCCACTGACCCGAGCAGTGACCCCACCACGACCTCCGAAACAGACAGCAGCTTGGACAGCCACACCTCTCTGGGTTCACTGGCCTGCTGCAGATAACACACACATACAATACATGTACACACACGTGCACACGAAAAGCAAACCACTCATCAGTGCGTTTGATGGGAGAGGATTTAGGCCAATGGAACTTCTCCTGTTAGTTTGTAGAGCTGCGCTTTTAATGTACAGTTTGTTTTTATTTCCCCTCCTATACTGCTGTAAATTATTGTGGTTTGAAATTGTATCATTATTACTGTATTTTTTCAGCGAAGAATCAAAGTATGTTCCGATGTGAATCTGTGATGTATGTTACGAGAGAGAGTGACTTGAGTGTACTTTACACATCGCTGTTTTTAGCTGCTGACACAGTCGAATACCACACTGTTAGCACTGCAATATTATGTTGACTATTTTTGAATTCTTCTTTTGGGTCACTTGGATGAATTTACACCACTTCTCTTTCTAACAGTAGACAATAACGCACTTCATCTTGGATCCGATTGCACTGAATGATTTTATTTTGATATTGTTCCTCATCTTTCTTGTAGAAAGCGTCCTTTGGTGTATCCAAGTTAACTTACTTCTTAGTATTATGTCACCTCTTGATTGTGTGCATCTTGACAAGCAGTCAAATGGTCTATTGCCCTGACACTGAATTTCTTTTTTTTTTTACTATAACATACTGTTAACTGACTGTGTTTGAACTTGTTTAGTTACGTAGATGTAATTTGTAGGCCACGGTCTGTTGGATGAGGATGAACAGGGTGAATGTAAGTGAATAGAAATGTGGCGTAGTGAGGAGCCAGTGATAACTGTTAGCGCTGTAACATTTTAATATAGGCCGCTCCACTGGCTAGAATTAGTTCTGTATTTGGGGACTGTCACCAGAGACTAAGTCTAAATTAGTCACTTTACCCTTTTGGCAGGTCCTGTCAGACATTATTCACAGCTGTCTGATATTTCACATATTTAATTTAAGTGCCCTTACTCGGTTCAATGATTTTCAGTCTTCTTTGTCACAGATGCTCTTCTCTTCTCTAGTGCGTCTTTCTGAGTTCTACCTCACACATGTGTGTACACACACACACACACATGTTTTTGAAGTTACAGTATGCATATCATGGCATACATTATTCATAAGAAAAAAACAATTTTTTCTTTCGGTATTCGCTTTATTTATTTATTTATTTCAAGCTAGGAAGCGTTTATTGTATGTAATGTACATTTCATTCAGAAGTACTATTTAAATGCATTTTGTTTCATTTTTTGTTTGTTTTCTGTGCAATATAATTCATAGATTAATATAGTCAGTGATTGATCTGTACATTTTTACTGTAGATGAATGTTTTCTGAGAGTCAGGAAACAGGCATTTACTACTTGCCATGGTAACCTTTGGATGTATTTAATGGCTCAAATTCCAACCTGTCCCTTTGCCTTTTCATGGTTGGACACTCCAGGCAGTAACCCCTAGCATCAGCTCCCAGAATGCACTTTGGGGATTGTGACGCATGTCCTGACCCGTTCTGGGCCACAATCGCAACTGACTGTTGTGGCTTCCTCTTTTTGTCATTTTTCTCTCCTTCATCTCCTCAAAAAGAGAAAAGATAGAATAGACTACGCATGAAAAATCTGGTTTTAGTGAAGGTACATTTCGAGGAAAGATGGGAAAGCCATACGGCACTACTGGGATGATGCTGCAGTCTTCTGATGGTTTGGCCAAACACTGTCAGCAAAGAGTTCACCTGTTTTGAGTGTTTTGATCGGGCTAGTTCAGCTATGGATCTGAAATGGCCTCACTAACAGACCAATTATATACATCAAAAATGTAAACTGTCTAACTTCAACTCCAGCAAATAAAACAGTAGAATTTTAATGTGTCACATTGTTCTTTCTTTTACTGTCATTTTAACGTTTCTTTCGAGAATATGATTGCTAAGGGGAAATGAACAGGGTGTGTATGGGAAGACTGTACCTCTTATCATCAGTAAGTATTTTTCTGCTCACTAAGTTCATAAATAATCAGCTACATGATAAATGATGTATAATAGTAAGGAATTTTGCGGAATGGTAAAAGGATTGCTTGGTCCAGAGGAGTTCTCGTTTGGCACCGGCACTGGTCAGTGTAGGCACAAGACGGCTGTACTAAAGAGGACACGATGGCAAGTAGTACTGCACTAGAGGTATTTGGTCTTCAAAGCTTTGGAGCTGACTGGTAGTCCCAGTATTCAAGCTTCTCCTCCTCTAATGGACCAGATGAAGGCAGGTTGGTCTCGTCTAGTGTGTCCATGTTGCTCCTGTGGTCAGATCTCCAAGGGTTTTGAAGAACTCATCCATTTCTTTCTGGAGGAGAATGTTTCGCTTCTCTGCGTCTTGGTGTGCCCTCTCCGAGTTCCTGAGTCGGATCTCCAGCATGTGAAACTTCTTTTTCTCCTGGTCCAGCTCATCCTCAAGGCTGTTTACCTGGGACTGGTACTTAGAACAGGACTCCTCCAACCTCAAAGAAGAGAAGAAGAGGTTATAAATAACAATTCATCCTGATTTCAATTGGTTATTTGAAAGGAAGTGACAAGTGACTCATTCTTACTTGCAAATGGAGGTTTCGTAGCTTGTCCTCTGGTTCTTCAGCTCCTGCTTGAGCTCGGTCAGCATGTTAGTGATACCTTCATTTGTTCCTGTGAGATCCTCCTCAGTACCCCTTGCACTGTTATCCAGAGGACTTGTACTGTCCCTCACCTCTGTGGGTCTCTCTTGACTCTGCCCCAATTTTACTGCCTTATCGCTTCCCTCTGGCTCGGCCAGTGAGATCTCAAAGGATGTCCAGATGGAGGATGTGTCAGCAGGCAGGCTTAGACTGGAGGGGGTAACATTCTCATAGGCAGACAGTCTGTGGGACTGGAGCAGGGCTCTATGAGACAGGGGTGTTTGAGAGGAGTCTTCATCAGAGTCTCTCTGTGTATCCTTAAGTGGAAGAGTGGTCTCTTTATGGGAGAGGGTTGAATCCTTCGTAGTAGAGTCTTTTAGTCTTTCACCAGATGAGGTAGTGCGCCTGTGAGCTCGGAGGGATGACAGGCCATTAATCAGCCAGTTGCTCCCACCAGCTGCTGACACATCCCCCGCCGACCCCCCTATTTTCCCCCTTTGCCCCCCAGATGCTGCACCTCCTTTGAAGGAGCTCCTCCAGGGCAAGGCTTTAGACTGTTTACTGGGGCTAACGGCTACCTCACTTCCACCTCTCGCTTCAGTTTTGCTATCTGCTTGTCCATCAACTTTTTCTTCTGTCTTACCTTTGCCCTTTCCTTCAATCTGACCATCTTCACCCTTCTCCGACACTGTAATGGGGCTCGGTGCAGTCGGCTTACTGTCTTTAGAAGGGGTTGAAGATTGGGGTTCCTCTTTAGGGGTTTTGGAGGGTGGGGGGGCCAGTGTCTTCTCGTGAGAGCCATTCCACTTTGCACCGTTGGAGAGGACTCTGTTGTTGCTGTGGGGGAATCTTGGCCTCAGTTTCCGTCTCCTCCCGTTGATAAAGTCTAGTGTGTTCACTGATCAGCACAGTCATGAGGTGCTGCACCTGCGAACTTCCTGTTGATAATGACAAACACACATACAGTACATGTGTAATCGAACTGTTTCATGGCATTGTTCGTATTGATTAAGAAGCAAGTTTGTGGCACAAATTGTTATTTATATAAACATTATCACCAACCCTCCATCATGGTAACTGGATCCTCTACTCTGGGCCGAAGGATATTCGGTCCAAACACAGTGGCCAGATTCTGAACACTCATTTTATTCTCATTGGAGTGAGATTGAACCTCATCCAGAAACCTGAAAAAGAAAGAACCAAAATCAGAATTTATTTCCACATATTATATAAAATCAACAGTATTGACTGCTCTGCTTAGAATCGGTAGAAACCCTTAGTTCTTTTTTATCTAATAAATTCAAAGAAAATGAAGACTGAGTCATGAGTCTGTGGTGTGTGGGTTCAGCTGAAGATATTTGAATAGAAGGCAGAGAAGACATGCAATTATGCACACTCAGATTCAATCAATGTGATGCCACTTTCCCTGATGACGAGGATGTGGGTGTAATGAATGTCATTCCTCTTGTATGACAGGCTCACAAATCATCAAACAGTAAATGGGACAGCAGCAACAATTAAACCCATCACAGTCACATCAGTGGGCTTAACAACTATATACAGCAGACGACAAAAGTGTGAACTTACTTGCAGATGTATGTGAGGAGGTTGTAGTTGACCTGAGGAAGGGATTTCACCTGTTTGCCTAGCTCCACTTTACCCTTGAAGAAAAATAAGACATGTTTATTGTTGAGACAATAGTTTGGAAATGTACCAGTGAAGTGTTGAGCAGACATGTGATTACCATTGCTTTGTCCTTGGTAAGAAGCTGAGCACAAGAGAGAAACTGTGTGTATTTGGAGAACGGGATTATAGGCTCCGGCAGCTCCCGTATGTACAGCTTTAGCAGTGATGCCACTGTGTGGACATCCGTGGTACTGTAAGAGACAGGGAAATATACAGTACTGGACAGCATAGATTATAGCTTGGCATGCTGCTATCGATAAAATGCCCCCTCCCACTGCATCACCTGTCAAACACTGGCTTCTCGCCACGGTCAAAGGCATCTTGCAGCTCCCGCACATGATTGGTCTGTCCAGGGGCCCTGAAAAGGCCCTCCTCCTGGAGCCCATGTTCACGTATGAAACACACGCACTGTTCGACCAGCACAGGGACCAGTCGCTGAGGGCCACACTGGGCCTCGTACAACATTGTCTCCTCTAGGTGCTGCCCAAAGACACCTGCAGCCACACAGAAAATGAACACCAGTCAGGTGATTAATAGACAGAATGTTTCCTTATGTGTGCCCAAGAAGTTTAAGTCCCCTCTTTAAATAATTAGTCATATATTTGCTTAATTACTGTAAAAAGTGCTTTATGTGAGCATTTGCGTATATGTGTATAAATATGTTTTAGAATCACACCTCCTCCAAGAGGAGCCCATATGACTCTACGAATGGCTCTGACCCATTCCTCCATGTCACTCTGAGAGTTGGCCATCAGCAGGAATGATTCGTGGCTGATGCCTGTTCGATCCTTTTCTCCAGCCACTCCTGGAAACACAAACATATTTCATCACTTTCTGGATCAATAGGACACGGTGACTAACACTTTTAAAAGTACTTTGCTGATCACACGAACTGTATCATTTGTAAAGAAGGCAGTTCTACCAACAAGAACTATCAGTATTTCCAATAACCTTATTAACTCCAGCACCTCTGTAAAGTACAAACACGCAGCCATGCAGCTCTGCCTCCCTGTGTGCTTCCTCTGGCTGCACACAGCTTGATACCACCTGGTTTGACATTTTAGTTTGACATTTTAGTTGATTTTAGTTTAGCTTTGATTACACTATGAAGCTCTCTCCCTTCATGCGACTTTGCAATCGCTTGCTTTTCGAAGAGGTGGAAGCACTACTCAGTTACAGATGGAAATAAAAGCATCAAAGCTGCTGTTCATAAAATGTTCTTTCATTTTTTGCTGATGAAAACCTTCTTATGATACAATCCAAAAGACAGTGATCTTTGGAAGTAGAATTGGTGGTGTTGACTGTGTCGGCTATATATCAGTATATAGCTGCATTCTTTATGAAGTTGTGCGCTGTGGTGCATAGCGTGTTGTGTGAGAGAAATTACCCAGAAAGAGTAGTGTTCCCTGTGGACACCAGCAACTGCACCATGTCTCCTTTGTCTTTCTGTCCAGGACTTTTTCCTCAGTATCTTTTCATTAACACACTTTCTCTACAAAGTGACACCCGGGACCATCTCACATGTTAACAGACCACACCCCCATTTACTACAAATTGCATTTAGTTTGCACAACTGTTTACCATTTTCCAAAGCACATCAAAGTGTTCTAAATAGGATTTTCCGAATTTAAAGCAGACATTGGTCTCCATTCAGTTGTATGGAAATTGGCTTGCATCGACCTAAAACCTGAAGGCAATTCATTAGCATGAGCATCTTGTCTTTTTTTCATGATGAGCAAAGTTGATTTTCTTCCTGTTGTAAATGAATTGAAACCAGCGGCTGCCTGTGAAGTGGAGGATGATAAATAGGTTGGGATGAGGAAAACATGTATGTTACAGAACATCATTGCAAGACCTTGTTAATCCCAGCAACACAGAAAGCCAGAGAGGGAGATATATATACGATACTGTTCGGCAGTTCAATCTGCTTTGCAAAGTATTCAAGAGGGGCGATACGCCCCATAGCTGAAAAAATAAATACTTACTACCATCATTGATGGAAACTTCGTCCTCAGGATAAAATGTCAGGGTGCTAGTCAACCTGCTGCAGTAATGGCCCATGTTGAACTTGGACCACCTGAGGAAAATAAGGGCTACAACTGAGGAATGAGTAACCCACGATGCCGTTCCATGAAAGTTATACGATGCAAACTGTCTCATATCTTCCAACTCCTAACTTAGTCGATGCAAGTACAACTTTCTTTCTTTCTCTCTTTCATCAAAGCAGACCCTCTGATCTATCTGCTGTACATACTGTCCACTGTTTAACCATAGTCATGCCGACCCCACGCTGTCAAGAGCAAAGATGAATGAAGCCGTTGTTGAACCCTCAGAAACATGGCCATTGAAATCACATTCTTTCTGCTGTTCTGCATATTTCATGCATGTGTTACGGCCTGATACTCATATGTAGCTATTGATTTACTTTGATTCTGGGTCGACAACGTTTACACAGAGGATATGACCTGCTGGATTTACAGTATGGTCATCATTTCAAGCGACACAGAGAGATACTTTGTGTAATTTACAGCAAACCTGCATCAGGATAATGCTCTAGTGGTGTTTCAAGAGTTTGAGTTTAATCATCTTCTGAGCACTAAAAACTCACTTTAAGTGTTGGTATTGGTGGGAAATGATATCAGATGTGCTTCATCAGGATTTAGTGTAATATACATTTTTCTTTTAGACAAATCTTGTTTGTTTGACACTTAAACACTTAAACAGATGGTTCAGCATCACTTGAACAAGACTTCCTTACACACAGAGTTGTCACCATGCCAACTCACCTGGAACAATTTCAAAAGGGTGACGACCAGGCTCGTCCTGATTGGCAGGCAGCTCATTGACCTGACTGCCCTGAAGAGGAATACAACCCTGTAGGGAAAAGAGAGGCACGCGTGAGAAACACCTGCATCAATGGTATTCAAGGGCCAAACAAGAAATCAATTAGTGGTTCTGGACTTGGACGTGTAGAGCATGTTGAACATTATAGAGTTCTGAGTACACTGAGCTCTTGGCATCTGTCCAACAGAGGGAGGTAATGATAATGGAGGGGGGGATGACTCAGGGAAACATCTATTTATCCATCTGGCACTTCCTGTTCTGTGCAGTTTGGATCCCTTGACCATGTAGAGGGTCTAAGGTCAGCTACTAAGTGCTTACAGCAGAACCACAGGGCAGCTAGTTACCACATTATCAGTGTGTGTGTCAGGGCAATAACAACACACTATGACTTTAATGGAGAGTGTTGAGATGTCTTAAAGAGATGATTTTTGTGTGAAAGATGATTGGATATTTATCCAGCTTTAGTTTTACATCAAAAATATAAAGATAAGAGCTTGTAGCTTTAAAAACCATGGTCACGTGAATGCAGAAAAGGGTTTAATTTTACTTGAGGGCAGCAAAATATATTTTGTCGCCTAATTTTAAAGAATCAATAAGTTATTTTCAGAGTTGGAGAACACACAATGGAGTGACTGGACCTGGGGGAAAATCCTAATCAGAAAAATTCATGAAGCTTCAATACGTATCGGGCCTTGAATCCGAATGAATCAAAACACGCAGCAGTGCAGCCTCCTGGGGCAACAGGTGACAGAAGTTAACTGTCTTGTGTGTTATTGTGTGAGCATCACCTGTGCCTTGGTTTCATCCTGGTCCTTGTAGAAATACAGAGCTTCGGTCCTCAGGACAAACCAACGCAGCTGCCAGTTTTTCATGATACTCCGCTGTCTCTTCAGCCAGCCTGCCTTCAGTGCCTTCTCCTGATCCAGAGGAGAGCAGGGCCTGGAGACCCGAGACAACTCTCCGAGCACCATGCTCTTGGACCGCGCTGCATGGACACACACATAGAGATAAAGTGAGGGAAAGAGGATTCAGTGCACCAGAATGAGATAAAGAAATAGAGATTACACAAAGACAGAGGGTTCATGTTATTTGGGGATTTTCTGTCTTTGTTTTGCTATTATTCTAAAAATTCACCCATAGACAATCCTGAATCATTGTTCACAGAAGTCTCTCTTGGACGCAGCTAAGCCCACAGGCTTGACCATGCATTCAGATTTCCTCCTAAGTCAATAAACCAAGGCATGGCCTCCATTTTGCAGAAAATACATCCTGTTTAAGATGATATTCATCCATCTATTCCATTACATTTTATTATGTGTCTCAGATATTAATGAGGGTATATATCATTTTCAATTTCACTGCGGCACAGAGAAGAGTATTGGTTTGGATCAGGTTGCACTTTAACTGCTGCAGACTGATTACAAGCATGGATTGTATATGAGCAAAGGTATGTCAAAGGTACAGAGCAAAAACAGCGACAGTAGAGTGATCCCTGGGGAGTCACGGGGAGAGAAAGAGGGAGAGAGATAAACAGAAGGCAGAGAGAGAGAGAAATCAATGGCGTCCTTTTTCCTGTTAATTGCCTCTTGCTTTCTGCTGAGGACAGCAGGGAGGGTATCTGCAAGGGCCTGGACTTAAATCTCTCCCTCTCTCTTGCTTATCAGCTCTCTGACTGCGTCCCTCATTTTATTTGTTCCCTTTTTGGATGTCCTTCATTTGCAGAGTCATGATTGCTGGAAAGGGAGAAGACTAGAGACCACGTGAAGCAGTCATTAATAAAACTGTATGCTGACAGCAGGAGCAGGCAGAGCAGGGTCTATAAATACAGCAGACCTGGCCGTGTTTTTTAACATCCTTAAAGAAGAGGCAGGACATTTAACAGAGGAACTGGTGTTTTCATCTACTGTCAGCAAAGAACTCATGTACAAGGATGAAATTGTTATCTTTTCAGGAAATAAACTGTTACTCAAAGTGCATTAATTTGTATTTAATAAAATAATACACATGGGTTCAATAGTGACAATCAGTGATGGAGCTTTCAGATCCTTTACTCACTACCCTTACAATAGCACATAGTGAAAATACCCCATTACACGTAAAAAGTATAGATAAGTAAAAATACCTAATTATTATTAGTAAATGTCCTTAAAGTATCAAAAGTAGAAAGTACTAATATAGCAGAGAAATGGCTCCTGTAAATCTTTCACTGATGTATACTACATTATTGAGTTATCTATACTGATGCATCAATCTGTTAGCAGGGATACTGTTAATCTATAACAGTGCATAATATTTTATAAAACTGATCATATGTTTTCTGTTAAATCTTAATCTGTAAAGAAACATGTAAGTGTAACTAGTATATGTAAAAAGGTACAATAGTTCTCTTTGAATTGCTTAGTAGAAGTATTAAATGAAATACTGAAGTTAAGTACAAGAACAGCACCTCAAATGTGTATTTAAGTACCTGCGTAAATATACTTAGTTACTTTCCACCACTTAGGAATCAAAAGTGAAAGTACTCATTATGTACCCATTATAAAAATGGTCCTGGTCAGTGTTACATTATATTATAATCACATTAGTTATTAACAATGTATTACCGTAGCATTTTGTTTGATGCAGTGGAGCAAATTGAAACTACTTTATTTACTGTTGAGAATGCATTTTAAGCTCATTATACATTTTGTACACCTCTGAAATGAACTGATGTGGAACAAGTAAAGCAGCATCAGATCGAAATAATTGACTACAGTACAAGTACCTCATCGGGTACCTAAGTACAGTACTTGAATAAATATACCATTCCACCACCACAGCTAATACTTTTTGGATATTCAATACAACTACCAGTAATTCAATTATTCAACTATTTGAATGATTCATCTCATTAGACTGCTATAATGTATTAGATTATCAACAAATGAAATGTTCCCACATGTATTAATTGTATTTTTTGAACACAGTCTTTGTGGTATTTTTGCACCTACATATATAGTGCATCATTTCTTGACTTTGAGCACGTCATCATCCTCAAATTTACATATATTCAGCTACACAGATAATGAGAGAATTGCCTCAACCACAGCTCAGAGTTTTACCAATAACTTCCCGTAAGACTCTACATGACTTAACTGCTCTAGGATTCATGATATCTCAGCTTCAGAGTGCAGATCCAGTATGATGCTGCATAAAAGGGTCAGAGGAGAGCAGAGCTGGAAATCTAATCAGAGGAGAATACCATTACAGCAAATGAGAGATGGCAAGCGGACAAAACATGGCAAGCGAAGTGAAGTGGCCACTGCACTCTCCGACTGTGTTCATGACGGAGAAAGAAGAGGCACTTGTCCTTCCCAACATCTTTTATGGTCTTATGTTCACTGCTGGTCTCAAATAAGACGGCTGCCAAGGGAGAAATAACGCCACAACCCCGCCTAAACGCACACAACAAACTAAGGATTCTTAAAGCTGCATGCTCACGTGGATACTCCTCTCTAAAAAACAATACCAGTCAATTTCCTCAACTTGAGCCACCTAAAATAGCATGTGTCAGTTGTCTATAGCAACCATCTGCTATGAAGAGCACAGCTATACTCTGCTGCATCATGATAATCTCAGTGCCAGGAGTTGTTCCTGTGATTTGGAGGTTCCCTATTCATCTTCACACAGTCATGTGATAGGCATGTATATTTGGCGTACCGACTTCAGCGGTCACCGGTGGGTTTTACCCGGCGTTAGAAGAACTATGTTTGAGGGTCAGCTGTTGTGATTTACACGAGTGGCGAACCCTGCATTCCTTTCATCACCGCTGATCTAGAGTCACCTGTCAAGACCAGGCAAACTAAAAGCTAGTCCAATAAACCCTGAACAAACAGAGATGTATTCACGTGTTCAGGTGTGAAAATGTCAGGATGCAGACCATTGTTGGAGGGAGGATCATCTTTCCAGAAGCCATGTTTACGACAACCCACTGTGTCCCCCACCAGGTTCAAATCCTTTAGGAATAAGCACGGTATAATCGAGAGACACGAGGGATGACATCACTCTGTAGTAGAGCCGGTTAACTCTGGACATGGAAGATAAATCCTCAACACTTCAGATCATGCGAGAAAACTCAGGTCATCGCTGACAACAATGGTCACTGGGATGCAGAATGACACCGGTGCTACTAATATGGAACTGTTCCACCTTTTTGATGTCATCATAAATGAAAGCACTGGCACCGATATTGATGTCACATTATTACAAAGACAGCAGGACAAATGGAGCTCTGCGGAGACAGCGAGAGAGGGGGAGAAAGAGATGGACTGCAGAGAAACAGAAAGAAGCAAGAAAGGAGAGAAAATAGATGGAGGGATGGAGAAAGAGGAGGTGGGACTGTGCTTACCCCGGCGTGCCTGTTTTATCTTGGGGCTCAGCATGGTTACCGTTGCTGTGCTGCTCCCTCTCACAGAGACATGACTGCATCCCTCTGTTCGCACACTATTCCTTACACACACACACACACACACACACACACACACGGACACAGTGCCTCTCGCTGCTGCCTCGCCCTGTTACTCCTCATCTTCTCCGAGCATCTCTCTCCTTGGCTCACTGTCTTGCACTTGGACACTGTCTCTGTCTGATTTCACACACATACACACACACACACACACACACAGACACACACACACACACACACACACACACACACACACACACACTTACAAGCACTTAACCACACACTCTGGTCTTCCTCCCCCTTCTTTCTTTCGTCTCACTCCCCCCGTCTGTCCCAACGGCCCGGCGTGCTGTTGTTCTCACATACTGTACCTAGAGCCCTGCCCACTCTCTCTCTCTCCTTTGCTATCTGCCTCTCTGCCGTCTGCTGCACACTCTCAGTATCAATTTCTCACCGTCTATAAATATGTCTGGCTGTGTGTCCTCTGTCTTGTCACCCATTTCTTTACATTGGCTCCCGCAATCGCTCCGCAGTCTTCACAATCCCTCTGGCTGTTTGCTCATGGAGATTCATTATGGCCTCATCTGTACGTGAAGTACAACCTCAGATCAATACGTTTGATTTTACTGACATCATTTGTACCATCAAATGTTTGATGCAGAGCAAGTGGCTAAGTTATTGTATTGTCTGTACCAGATGTATTATACATTTGGGTAGACATGTGTTTAAAACTGACAAAACTTAACTGTATAGCACTCATATTTAATATTAGAACTGTTACAGGCTAAGACTTATAGTCTGAAAGGAAATGTGACATTACTCAGTCACTCAAAATGTGTAGAATGAAAGCCCAAATACTCAGGGGTGTGATGTTCTTGTTTCTATTCAGCCTGGTTGGTTTGTAGAGGATGTGATAAAGCAGATTAATGCTGCAGTTCAAGAGGCTGGATGACACTAAAATACGGTACGGGGACACTGCTGACTCAGCTTTTTCATAAGAAATAATAACCTACTCAGCTCAAACGTAACAATCAATGACAAATGGTCCCCACTATACACTCGCTAAATAAAGGTTTTATAAAGTAGTAGCAGTACATTCCTGATAACATTACTTTGGGAATGTAATTCCTAACACTTTCAAATGATCAGCTCATAACCTGACAGACAAATATCTGAAGATCAGAGCTTAACTTTATACGAAAGCTCAGATAAGAAAGTTTGATCTTAAACAACATAAATCATCACCTTGCTTGATACAATGATCATTGTTGTAAAACAAACTAAAAGAGAGCTTTACCTGCCAATTCTTTGGTTTGTCACTGGTCAGAGGAGTCCTGGATGGTTTCAAGGCAGTGGATCTGTCTGCACATTGTATCCCTCTCCACAGGGGCCACTTCTAGAGCCACACACACACACACACACACACACCCACACACACACACACACACACACACACACCCACACACACACACACACACGTGCACACACACAGGCTCTAAACAATGGCAATACTGAAATCTCAGTCCTCTGCTGGATTGATAATTACTAAGAAACAAATCAAATGACATTCACATACCCAAAGAGAAAGGACTACTATTGCTGCCATCAGTAACACACCAATGACATGCACTCGAAGAATGCTGATGTGAACAGACTCTGATAGAAGGAAGGAAATAAAGACAGTCATGCGAGTATTACTTGCCATGTCATCTCGGATGGGCAGACCAGACGACTCTCAGTCTGGAGCCAAACTCTCTATGCTACACAAGAAAGCATCACAGTCCCAAGCAGCTGCTGTGATAGGTACTGCTTTACAGAGAAATAGAACTTATCATATACGATGATCTCCTGCCGTCCTCCTTCTCTAAATGTTTCAGTCTGTCTCTCACTAAGGAAGTGAGCTGCCTTGATGGAGAAGTGAAAATGCCTGACTTCTGTGTAAAAAAAGTTGTTGGATGGCATTACTGTACATTTCCTCCACTCACAAGAGGGTAAAAATTAATGCTCTGGCTGTTCGTGATTTGAGAATTGAAATCAAGAGGGACGGTCACAAGCTTTGAAAAAAACGTATCTAAGCACAAGTACTGTACTTAGGTACAGTTTGGACATACTTGAGTATTTACATTTTATGCTACTTTATACCTCTACATTTCAGAGAAAAATATTGTACTTTTTAATCCACTAGGTTTGACACTAAAAGTTACTTTCACCATAAAAGCATATCATATGAAATCATGCAGTACTACTACTGTATACAAAGTATCTGAAATTGGCTCCACATTGACCAACTACAACATTTAAATGCTCTTACGTGTATGAATTATGATGAAAACAGAATAATACAACATTATACAATAATACAAAAGGAAAAAGGGGCGATTCTGCATAATGAGTACTTTTACTTTTGATACTTTAAGCACATTTTGCAGATTATACTTCTGTACTTTTACCTAAGTTAACTTTTTGAACTTGGGAGTTCAACATGGACAATTTTTATGCTATGATATTTCTACTTTTACTTCAGTAATGTATCTCAGTACTTCCACCACTGTGAAAGATAAATAAGAAACATTCTACTTTTACAAATTTCAGTGATGTTTTTTATTCAGCATATAAACATCATGGCACAAATGAGGTATCATCTTGGAAACCAAAACAAATTGTGTAACCACATCAGTACATATATAAAATAGATACAATAACACTGATCCAGGGACAGAACAATACAGTAACAGCAGTCACAGGCTTACATGCGCTCATCTTAACCTCTCCATATGCATGACAGGCAGTACAGTAGACACTAAATAAAATCACATGACATAGCCTCTCACATAGTCCAGACACACCAGCCTCTGAGAGATGTGGGGAACATCATCTATAATCTGGAAATATAGCCCCGAGGGAAACAAAGGAAATGAGTGTGTTTAATTGAAGGCATGAAAAGAGCATGCCTCATTAGTGAGAGCAGAGGAAGTGTCATGGCTCAAATGACTGGGAGCAGGTCAGAGAGGTAATGACATTATGTCAGGAACAAAGTATTTCAGTGCACGTTACCATTATCACTAATCACAGGACTTGCTAATGTTATGAGTAGCCTACACAAATCTTCACAACTTTGAACAGTGCTTTTTACACCACGACACACTTTTCTTCAAAACAAATATAACAATGACATTTAAAAAAATGAAGCTGATGTAGAACATGAAAACAGGTGTAAATGTGAGCATTCATTCAGAGGTGTTCCCTGCTAAAACACAGTTTTGGAATCAAGTACTTCACGACACAGAACAATGCAAACCAACAAGTTAATGTGAACACTGATACCTTTAAAAGTATTCTGTGAGGCTTCTAAAAACTAGGTGAACATCAAAACTCTTATCCTGCTAGACACAAATCCGCTGACTAATCTATTCTGTAGCCTACTGTATATTAAAATAGAATATTGAGATTTGACCAAATTTTACATTGAAGTACAACATGATGGCGTTAGAGAATCTGTGAACGGTGAAGCAAGTGAGCGATGACACAAACCAGCTGGATACAAGACAAACTGACATTTTCAAATGTCTATGGCAGTTTTGTCCTCTCTTGATTGTCCTCTTCCCACCCGTCTTCGACCCTCCAGCAGAAACGACAGCACTATAGCCCAGCGCTGCCCTACTGACCTCTGCCGTGCGGAGCTTTCACACTGTCTGAAGTAGGTGGTCGTTCCTGTGGCCACGGACTCAAACTGCTCAACCAGTAGCCACACCTCCCAAAACACCGTCAGTCCATTCATTGACACCAATACCACGACCCAGAACTCCTCCCCTAACAATGTCAGCCACGATGACAAGCCATGATGGCTCGCGGGCATCCTGCCGTACAGGTAACTTGTTGCCGTGGCAATAAAAAGCAGGTGGGCAATCACCATGGAGAGGATGAAGAAGAGGAAGACGCGGTGGTTCCCACGGCCGACGCACCGGTTGAGGAAAAGGCAGTGGTGGTCGTAGTCTTTGATGCACATCTCACACAGCTTGCAGTGTTTAGTGTAGTCGGGCGGAAACAACTATGAGGAAAGCAAAGACATGGTGGGAGGAGAGCAACGTATTGTTGATGTGATGTAGCCCATGGACGAAAAAATGTGCATCTTTAAATTTACCAGCAACCGTCTTCACAAGCAGACCTTTCACTAATTGATGAAAATCACCTGGCTATGACTTAATTGACATAAATATTTCATCCCATTAAATTGTCACAGCATTGATTCATTGCTTTTTGAAGGAACACACCAAGAGGAGAATGGCTGTGTGTACATTTAGACCGAAACTGATAACTAGATGTATAGGTAGATATGGGGGTATGCTCTCTGACCCGCGTGAGCGTCTTACCTCACAGTATGGACAAAACCTGTGAGGGCTCTGGTTGTCCTCCACCAGGTCAGCGATACAGGAGAACCGAGGATCTACATCTGCTCTGTCCAGTGTCCCGGGGTCCTGAGTCATAACCTTGCAGAGCAAAATGAGGACCAAGGAGAAGTGGACCATTGACACATGGACCAGAACACTGTTTGACCACACACATTCAAAAGGTTAAGGATGAACCATTGTCATTTCAATTTACAAAATCCTAGAATACATTTGTCTTACTATGACAGCACTGGCCATGTTGAAAAATGTTTTCAGGAAAGCTTGTGGAGTATCCAAAATACAAATGTTCTCCTTGGGGAGCATGGATAGGTCACTGCATAATAGACTTTAAATATTAATTGGGTACAAGTGGAAAATGTGACTCGATGATGGCACAAGAGGAAAGGTCAAAGGATAATGAAAAACATTGGGATTTTCAACCTCTGGGGACTATTCACAGATAATTACATGAAAACCCCAACTTTCACTTGTTGGTCACAATGTTGCTTGACCTGAGGTTGGCACCATAATATTCAGATATCATCCTGTGAAGACCATTATAATTAAGGACCAAATTTTAAAGCAATCCGGCCTTTGGTTAATATATCCTTCTCCGAACCAATGTGTTGGCTGGGCAGACAGACGAACCAACATTGACATCCTTATGCCCATACTGCTAGCAAGGCAAAAAAAGCCAGATTATACAGCAAATATGCCTGGGTGTGAGACTTAATGTGTGCTACATTTGTTAAGGATATTAGGCATCATCTTGCCATAGAAGCAGAGCAGGGAATGGAACAAGCCAGCTATGAGGGTTCCCAAGTAGATTGGGTTGGGTAACCTGGAAGGAAGACAGACGCTATCTCAACAAAGAGGTAAAACAAAACAGTCAAATGAGTTGACTTACTGATAAACATTTCACATGTAAAAAAAATGTCAAACCTTTGGTATGTGGTCATGCGGTGGTACTGTGTGAAGATGCTTCTGGCCAGCCAGGGGAAGAGCAAAGCGCAGGTTAGCCCCCCGTAGCCTCCCAACATGGCTGCTATCAGCAGGATGACAGCTCCACTCAGGGTTGGAAAAAGCAGTGTCCAGTAATACAAAACTGGTGAGAAAAGACACATGATATAAACATACAAAGATGTGTGAAAAACTCAACACATAAACACACACTACAGAGGAATAATCACCATGAGACTCCCTGGGCTTGTGGTGTAGTGGCTCATGAATGTACCGACTCAGTAGCTTGGTGAGTTGCTGATGTCTGGAGAAAAATACAGAGTATAGCAAAGTATTAATCAGCATCAGGATCCCAAGAGGAAGAAGTAATCTGTAAATGCAAACCTTCTGGATATCTGAAGGTACTGAGGGGTGTTTCTATCCCATACAGATCTGCTAGTCAGTGTTTTTCCAGATATTTCTAGAGACAGCAGATTCACCTAAATGTTTTCCCCTGTTTGCTGAGGTCCAGTGGTGTGAGGCCGCTGTGGTTCTTCTGATAGAGCATCCTGCACCCTGTTCTCTGCAGCAGTGTCCAGCACACCTCCACTCCACCCCTCTCTGCTGCAACATGAAGCGCAGTCGCTCCCTGCTGGTCGACTGCATCCACAGCACATCTCTGAAACACAAACAGAGGGTTGAGCTGCACAGCTGCTAAAAAAGATATCGCCACTGGTTCCAGTTTCACAAATGCATCTTACGGTTAAACTGATCTTTGTATGGATGCAATTTTTTATTTGAAAAGGTTATACTAGGTTGGGTACTGAGCTAATTTGCCTACAGTTTTATATGAGTGGTTGATGACAGTGACACTTAACCACATTGTAAATACGAAGGATTGAGAACCAAAACAATGAGCTAAAAGTGACTAAAAGCAGTTAACAGTTGAGTAAAGTCATGGCACATAATTTTATGTTAATTCTCAGTGGGTGTGACAGCAATAGGTACCCTAACAAAACCTCCTCTATAAAGTTGTATCATACTCTTAGCAAACTGGAGCATGTGAGTGAGAGAGTAAGGGGCCATCATATCCTACCTGGTCTCTGAGCAAATACCGCACCACCTCTGTGTTGCCTGTGGATGCAGCCAGGTGAAGGGGTGTCACCTGGTACATGTCTGTGTCTGAAAACCGGAACATTCCTGTCTCCCACAAATAGTGCACTGCAACACTGGGAAAGATAATATAACAGTAAGTGCATGCATTTGTTTACATACTTGTGTGTGACTGAGTATAGCCAAACAAATACAAGACTAAAAACATCAAGGTTTGTAATGTGTCGTTTCATCTACTCACATGCTGCCCCCCGTGACTGCATGATGCAGTGACGTTTTTCGCTGCCGGTCAATGAGACGCAGATCAGCTCCATACTGCATCATTTGGTGTATGATATAGATGTTTCCTTGCCTGATGGGAGTCAAAAGCACAAGCTGTTATTACACTGGATCCAGCACAGAACAAAATGCATGATGCTCACACTATGACATTGTCCCATCGAGAATCCAGGCGTATTTGTTTAACACTAGAGACCTAAATATGCAGCTATTGCTCACCTGCAGGCAAAATGAAAGGCTGTCTGTCCTGCGTCACATGTCGCGTTGGGGTCAGCTCCAAAACTAAGGAAAAGGTCAACCAGGGAGCGGGTACCATGGAGGGCCGCGTAGTGGAGCGGGGTGAAACCACCCCAGCCTGGATGAAGACAAACACAAGCACATTACAGTCAGATCTGCAGTCTCTGTGACCAACAATATAAGCCTGACATAAATGCGCAGTCTGTCAGCCTGTTGATCGTTGCAACCCTCTGGAGTCCGGGGATAGAGTTGCCTTTGCTACAATGTGACTTTGCGCTGTGTTGTCACAGGATCTGTCCATCTACATCTGAGCCAGACCATCTCACAGAGGAGCTGCAGCAGGGTTAGCTTTCCCCTTGGAAATGTGACAAAATCACAGCAGGAGACACTGGAGCACGATAAAGTTTAAAGTGTTCCTTTGAAAATAGCAAGATAAAAAATTGGTAGGCTACTTGTTCAATGCTTTTCACAAAATGTTCACATTATAACATTCAATATACAAAATGTGAATTACAGACATATGACATAGGGATAACAAGTTTGTGCTCTTGTTCATCAGCAGTTTTCTGGCTTATAATACTGAGCAAATCAGGAAATACCATCACAGTTTAAGGCTAAAAACTACAGACAGGAACACAGTAGGAATAGTGGCCTGTAGTTTCACAAATATGTTGTAATTAAAAGAGCAACACTGACCAGATCAAGATTTTAATTGCATCTTATTCCACCTTACCTTTTATCCTGAGAACCGATCGGTCATTCTGAACGAACTGTATACACATTTCAATATTGCCTCTCTGTATACAGTCAAATATGTCTCCGCGGGTATCGGAGCACACAGGCATCGGATGCATTATGATGGGTGCTCAGAGGCGGCCTGCTATTATTCCCACCGACAGAAACGGCAACGGAAACAAAAATCAGCTCCCAGGACGAAGCGCTACAACATCATAATGTAAAGTGAGAAAGGAGATCATCTTTCGCTTCAAATTAACGGGGATCTTTCATTGTGTAGCTAAACTGATCGAGGCAGACCACGCCCTGGACTCCTCGTTGGTTGCAGCGGGTCACATGACCGCTGACGTCATCCGCGTCAGCAAAACACTTGGGCCCTATAAATAAGATAATTTTAATTTAATTAGCATCATGTCATGCTGG